ACGGGCATCTTCTCAGCATGGTGCCAATGTTGGCCCAGTCCATTCTCTGAATCAAACCAGAGTGGCGGGGGGCATCGCGGAGAGGCTGCGAGCGGCGCGTTGAAGCCGAGGACGAGGGGCAGGAGAGGCAGGAAGGGCGCCCCGAGCCGCCGCCAACGCCGCAGGAGCGAGATGTGCAAGGGGGCCTGGCGCAAGGCCCGCCTCCGCCGCCTCCAAGGTCACCGCGAAGGACTCGGTGCCCCGGAAGCTTGGGTGCGCACGGCCACTGTGCAACGTGCGTCGCGCGCGCCAAGTGCCGCGGCGCTCCGCGCGCGACCTCATCCTGGCCAGCGCATCTTGGCAACCGGGGAAGGCCAGGAGAGCGGCGCGAGACTGCGAGGCGATGCTCGGGAAGCCCTGGCGCGCGATCCGAGGGCCGCCCCAGTCTGCCACTCGAGACCAGGCTGCTATTGAGAACGCTACCAGCGGCACTCGGAATACTTGCGCAAGCACAGACGCCTCCAGCTTCGAGATCGCCGCAGGGAGCGGACGAAACTGGGCCACGTGAGAGAGCGTGGAGGCAGCGCGTGAATTGCACAGAATGGCGGATACGCTGGTCAGGGTAGCACCACGTCCGATAGCTTGAGCCCGCAACTGCAATTGAGCCACAGGACCGGCCCAACACTTCATCACATCAGCCCCATGGCCAAGCCGCATCCCGAGGCACCGGGGCATGTCAGCGACTTCGAAGGGCGCCCAATCAGGGACAAGAGTACGAATTGCGCCAGAAATCTTCGCGGACAGCTCGGGCGAGAAGGAACCGGGCAACGGCGCCACGCGGCGCTTGGTAACTTCGAGGCGCAGGTTCGCCATCTTCTCAGCAGCAACCATGACGCGGTAGATCTCGCGCAGGTCAGGCACGGCGCACGCGGCGCCGCCAATGCCATCAGCGCAGGCCCTCACCGGGCCGCGGCCCCGTAGCCCGATTGAAGCCGCGATGTCGCGCGGGAAGGAGGAGGTCCCCAGAGCAAAGCGGGGGCCAGACAGAGCATCTCCTTGAATGATTCCACTCCGAAACCAGAACGGCGACTTGAGGAACCCGCGCGCGGAGGCGAGACCCCCGATGGCGGCGCGCAAGAAGCCCGCGAAAGACAGGGTGAACTGCGGGAGCTCGCAGGCCCCCAGAACCTGCAGCATATAATCCCAGCTGAGAGAGGGGAAGGCCCGGCCGAAGCCCAGGGATAGCAAACACGGGCAGCCCAGGGGCCGCGGGCGGACGACGGAGAGCTCGCGGGCGCAGCCGTCGATTTCGATTGAATGTTCAGCCCGAAGCTTCTACCCGGAACGAGCCCTCGCTGACGTGGGAGGGCCGCGTGACCAAGAATAGGATGAAGCGCTCTGTTCATCGCCCCCAATAATAATTGAACATCGGTTCTGCGCAGCCCCAGGGCCCTCCCTGACCTAGCCTGGGGAACGCGCGCACTCGCCATCACTCAGCTCGGCCGCTGACCGGGCCTTCGGGGGAAAACTTGCAGGGGGTTAAAAGAGGCGTGGCCCGACGCGACCAATTCCAGGGCGTTCAAGAGCACAGTCTCGCTAAATCAATCAGCCCCCCGCGCCGCGTAGGGAACGCCGTCGACGCCAGTGGCCGGGCCCTTAGCAGAGCGGATAGCACGACGGAGCGCGCGAAGCGCAGGGGGAAGAAGAGCGACAGAGTGGATCGGCGGCAGCCACGTCTCGGAATACATCGCAGCCCAATCCGCGCCCAAAGACTTCTTCAAGAAAATAAGGGCCCAATGCTCGCCCGAGGCTCGGATGCGCCCATCAAGGTCGGAGGCGGCGGCCGAAGGTGGCACGATCGCGGCGGCCAAGGGCGCCCTCTTCCCAAGCGGGGGCCAAAGCCGAGCCTTCCGCTCCAGAGCACGAGCTTGCACGCGAAGACGGCGCAAGGCACCCCCCCGCTTCCGCCCCGCTTCCAGATCAGAGCGGCGTCGATCAACGGCTTCCCTTTGGACCTCGGACGACCACTTCTGGAGCGACTGGGGATGTTGCGGCGACGCAGACGACCCAGCGGCCTCCGGGAGATCCGAGACGACGGGGAGAGACTCGAGCATGCGACGGGCCAGTCGCGCACCCTGGCGCCGCGCGACCCCTGCGATCATGCGAGCAATCAACAACCACGCGGCGGGTGAACGGGGGCGGGGGCGGAATAGCTGATCTCTCGTTTCAGCACCTGCAGTCCTCAGCAGCTCCTGACGCTGTTCAAGCTGGAAGGGTCGGGGCATCTTCCCCCGCCCGGAGGAGCCCATGAGGCCGCGAAGACGGGCGCGGAAAGATGGGCCCAGACAGAGATGCTTCGGCAGCGGGCGCTGGTCGAGCGGGCGAGCAAGACGAGGGGCAAACGAAACAACCACTGCAGCATGACCAGACATTTCGTCTTCGGACACCTCCTCGGCAAGGCCGATCGTTGCCGTCGAGGTAAAGAGCTGGTAGGCCTGCCAGCCCGACAACGAGCAGCGCGCGCGGTCGATGGAGGCGGCGCCCCCCCCCCCGCCGCGCTCGAAGCGCGCCGGGTCGCTCCCCTCGATCTCGAGCAGTCGGCCTGGGGCGGATCTCCATCGGGAAGCGCGGTCGCGGCGACGACGCGCATCCCGACGAACCGCAATCTCAGGAGAGTCCAGGACCATCGCCTCATCGGCGGAAAAGTTGGAGTCCCCGTTGACCACCGCCAGGCGCCTGTCGGGGGACTCCTCGGCCAGCTTGATCTCCTCGATGATGTCGGGGGCCGCCCTGGAGATCTCCTGCGCAGTCAGCTCGCGGCTGTGCACATTGTAGACTGCGGGGGCAGAATCGGGAGCGGGCACCGATACACGGAGAACACGACCAGGGACAAGAGGTAGGCTATTCACTTGGGGAGCGCCATCAGGCCCAGGGGAAAGACGTAGTACCAAAATTCCACCTCCGCCCTTGATGCGTCCAGCACGGTCAGCACCGCAGAAACTAGACACAACATGGAATCGGGGTCGATCGTGCGGACCAATGCTCGAAGCTGCCGCTCGTCTTGGTGAGTTTCTTGAAGCGAGATAGTCGTCTGCTGCGGTCAAGTGCGAGCCAAGTAGTCCCTCTCCAGGGCAATTTTATCCCCAGCCCCCTGCAACAAGGCACGCGCATTCCATGTAGCACGACGAAGGAGGCCAGGCTTGATCCCTGGATGTGGACGGGAATTAGCGAAGAGGCGGGTAGCACCAAAGACACCACTTGGGCTCCTTTGGGGCGGCGGCGATCTCGGTTGCGGCGGCGAGGAGCACCTCCTTGGAGAGGCCATGCTTGATGAGGGCGTCTTCGTTCCACATGAGGGTGGGCCCGCGGCAACGCGCACTTGCAAGATCTTATCCCACTGATTGAAAAACACGCCAATTTCCTTATCCATGAAAACCCGCTGGAAACTTGGAGGCCACGGCGGCGCGACAACTTCTGAGGGTAATCTCTGTCTTGACTTACTTGGGGCTCTTGTCGGGGCCGATTTGCAACTGGGTGGGCGTCGGGGAACCAGGAAATTCACAAAAGAACTCTTTCCAACTGCTGCCGTCTTTGAACGCCGCAAAAGCCCGATGCACCTTCCTGGCGGCAGGCTGAAAGAGGCCGAAGAATCTGACCACAAAGCGCTTACAGTGGGCCTGGCCGCGGATCTCCGTCTTGAACTCAAAGCTTTCGAAGCCAGCGGTGGGGAGGAAGTCTGAAACGCATTTAGACATCGCCTCCAGAGAGGTAGGGCGCTGCGCGAAGGCCACCAGGATGGCGGGGTCGATCTCACGGTCGAACCCTTCGGGAGGAGGTGGGACGGGTTGCTTCTGCTCGGCCACGGCCAGAACCTTCCTGAGGTCAGCCATCTCGCGGCGGAGCTTGGCAATCTCTGCGCCGGTGGAATTAATTTTCTTGTCGAGGCGCCCGAGGTGTGCGCCATGTTCATCGAGCTGCGCCTTCACGCGGTGGTGGAAAGAGTCAATCTGCGGCCGCACTACGCTCTGCACTTGCTGATAAATGCCGTAGGCCTGCTCAGTGACTTCTTCCTTGAGCAACCCGATGACACAGAGGAGAGACTGGAGATTGTTTGCGACCGAAGCACCGACTGAGGTAGAGATGTCGGCAGTGAGGGCGTCCTGCATGCCAGCGAACTCCGCGAGGCACATCTCTCGCAGGCAATCGGCGGGGTACTCATCCCCGTCGTCCATCTCAGCATCAAGGAGACCGTTCGGCGCACGACGTTTGCGAACAACGCAGCCCTTGTCCTTGCCTGCACCTGCCTAGGCGGGAAGCTCCTGGGAGGGGAACGTGGAGACCTCATCGAAGGCGGCGGCAACGTCGCGAACCTCCTGCGAGCCCATCGCGGCATCCTGCGTCATGCGAGACAGCGCGAGCGGAGGATGGGCTGCCAGGGCAACCAGGGTGCTGGCAAAGAGGACGAGAGACAATCGGACTGAACAGTCCTGGCACTTGCCGCGGACTAGCGGTATCCACGCGGTCCGCGGGGGAATCCATAGTCTTGAGCCAAAACGGCTACGGAGGAGGAAGAGGAGGAGGAATAGGGGCGATCGCAACATCTCTCGAGTGACCCGTGCACTCCGCGGCGATGCGCGGCGGACCTGACCCATGGCCGCCCGTCGGAGCGCACCAGCTTTCCTTGGGGGGCGAGGAGGAACGGGTCTTGCGCACGATGACACAGCAGCCTCACGCCGCAGCTCACGCGGGCCGCCAGCGCGCCACCTCACACTGGAGACGAGGGCGCCTGCGGGCGACCTCACGCGGGAAGCGGACGCGCCGACCCGGTGAAGACGACCCCGCCTTTGCGCGTCGCTCACTTGGCGGCGAGCCCGGGGGGGAAGCGAGAGGGAGCAGGCCTTCTCAAAGGCGGCGGGGCCCCTGTCTTCGGAGAAGGCTCCGAAGACTTCTCAAGAAGGCCCGAGGTTTTCCGAGCCTTCCGCAAAGGCCCGCCCCCTCTGACTTCCCGCTTGGGCTCGCCGCCGACGCAGGGGGACTGGCTCACGGGGGGGGAGAGACGTCGAGCTGGAATCGGCGAGACATCGCCAATAGATCGACGACAGGGCGATACGTCGCCAATACGTCGCGGCGTATCCTCCTGTCGTCGGGGGGCGCCTGTCGGAGGGCATCGGCTATACACCTACAGTCGGGCCTGATTGGAGAGGACAAGCGAGAGGGCACAAGACTTAAGTCGGGCCTGTCCCCCTACAGGGGGATTTTCGACGAAAAATGAAAAAATGCCCCAAAAAGGTCAAAAAATAGTCCCCAGACCATTTTCGGATTATTTTGGGGTCTTTTTTAAAAATTTTTCGTCCAAAATCCCCCTGTAGGGGGACAGGCCCGACCTAACACAAGACCCTTCCAAGGGCCACGCTCCCCCAGGGCCGAAGAGGACGTGGCACGCGAAGAGCACAGGGCACGAGGGCACCTTCGACCTGACAGGGCCGACCTCCCAATCGAACTCGACCGCACGCCGCTCCCGCCAATCGGACAAAGAGGAGGAGGAGGAGGAGGAGGAGGAGGAGGAGGAGGAGGAGGAGGAGGAGGAGGGAAGGAAGATGAGGACGAGGAGGAAGAGGACGAGGAGGAGGAGGAGGACGAGGAGGAGTTGGCGCCCTCCCAGGGCCGTCGGAGAACGAAATTCGGGTCGGGCCAAAGGGGGGGATAGCAAAGGGGGGGGTGAGAATCAGCTCACGTAGCTGATCTTCCCGGCGCCTCCCGGCGCCGGAGGCGGCTACGTATCGAGGAATGGGCCCCTCGGTGGGGCCGAAACCAGCTGCATGCAGCAAATTTCGGAACCCCCCCTTTCCCTATCTAGGGGGCCGCATGCGAACCCTACCCCTGCCCCCCACGATTTCTCAGGGTGAGGGTGGGGTTCACTTCGCTCGGGAGCTCCCGAGCGAAGTGAACCCCACCCTCCCCCTCCGAAATGGTGGGGGGGGGGTAGGGGTAGGGTTCGCATGTGGCCCCCTACTATCCCCCCCCCTCTCGCCAGGCCCGAGCCAAGGCCGCTCCCCGGCCCAGGACCGCTGTGCAGGCACGCCTGCCACGAGCGAGGAGGGCATGCACACCGCTCCCGGGCCCAGGGCGAGCCTGGCCAGGGGGGCCCCGGAGGGCATGTGGCCCCCGGGGCCGCCCCGGGGCGACGAAGCGAAGCCTCTTCTCGTCGCCACGGGTCCTGCGGGAGACGTCCGCCAGGACGTGCTCGCGTCCCGGGAACATCGCGACGGGAAGCGCTCTCTGTCCGCCCTTCTCGGCCTCCGGGGGCCCTCGCCGGGCCCAAGGGCCGTTGGAGACCCGCCCAGGATGAAAGCACTGGCCCTGTGGAAGAAGGTCGGGACTTCGGGTTGCCCGGAATTGCCACGCGTGTTTGGGGAAGGGCATTACGGGCCTTACCCTTGTCAGGGGGGCGTAAGACCCGGGTACAGGGGACTCGGAAATCCCCGACGCGGTCGTCAAAAAACGATGGCGAACCCGAATCCTGGCAAACCCGGGTCTTACGCTCCCCCGATCTCGGACCCGTTAGCGCGTCTGTTGCGCGAGATGGCATGGTGACCGTACGCGGTGGCGCACGCAGGCCGCCAGCACGGAACGCCCACGCGCGACCGTACGCGGGCAGCTTATTAGGAGGCCTGGACATGGGCACCAACACCAGCACAGGGGGTTGCCTCCACATGTGGAAAACGATCCTAGATTTCGGTGCTGGTGGTAATATGTCGGCCACCTTGGAAGCGAAAATGATCCTAGATTTCGGTGCTGGTGGTAATCTGTCGGCCACCTTGGAAGCCAGAATGTTGCCACCATCACCGCGATCGGGATCGCCTTCCCTCGGTGGTGGCACACCGCCGATCTTGGTGTTGGTGTCAACCTCTAGGCCTGCGAACTTGTGCGCGAATGGCTGGGCAGCCGAACCCGTTTTTTGCGTCGCTCGCCTGGGGCCGAGGCGTGTCCGTCTTCGTGACGGTGATGCCTCGGCGATTCAAAAGGGGGCCCCCGAGATCCAAGCGCTGCAGTCTGCTCTCGCCGGGCGTTTTCGCCCGGCCTTAGGCCTGGGGTCGATCCGGCTCGGAGGCTGCCGCAGCAAGATGGGGTCTGGGGCTGCTCCGGTGGTGATGCTTCGCGCTGCTGCTGTCCTTCTCTAGACGAGCGCGTTCCACTACTCGCAAAGTGACTACTCGCAAATGGCCTGGATCCGCTGGGGAGAATCTACGAGAAATTGCATCGAATCAGACATGTGTTTTTCGGGCGTTTGCGAGTAGGCACTCTGCGAGAAGTGGAACGCGCTCGGTGATTCTCACAACGCCGGATCTCAGGGGCCCTGAGGGATGAGGCCCGAAGGACAGGAGAGGGATCCCCGGCTGAACCTCAGCTGCAGGAGGCCACTCGTCCCCGGGGCCCCCCCCGTCCTTCAGGCAGAGCCCCGCCTTCCCAGACAGACGTCCAGCGTCCTGCCTTTGTCGAGGCACGGGCCCCCGACCTCTCGACCGCTTCCCCGGGACCGATTCGCCATCCCGGGTGGCTTGCTGACGGCCCCGAGGCCCAGCAGTGGCCCCAGCAGGCTGGAAACGAGGAGACACTCCTGGCCACGCTTTTGCTCGAGACGCTGGACGTCTGGGTATTCGGGCCGCCGGCTGCCGGGGTCCACGTCGCCGCTGTGCAGCACCGTCCAGGGCGCACGAGGCGGGACCGCGTTCCTCGGCTCCCCCGGGCTGTGCGCCCAGACCTCCTCGCCGCCGACCTCTCCGACCAGCCACAACTGGGGGAGCTGTGGTCCTTACCCCCCTGGGGGAACCCATCGCCTCGACGATCTCTCGAGAGGGATGTCGAAATCGATGTGTCCCCCAGGGGGGTATATGAGGACCAGAGCTCCCCCAGTTGTGGCTGGCCTGCCTCTGGCCCGAACCACCAGCCCCGCTGCTCTTCCCCGTCCCGGTGGTCCCAGTAGTACAGCAGCACCTGCGGCGGCTGTGCACGCAGGGGCGGCCCCTGCCCCGAAAGATCCTGGCGCCTCCACCTCTTCGTCGACCCGGGCGCTTGCGCCCACCTTCGGGCCCCACGGCCCTCACGGATCAGCCCGGCTCACAGAACTGCATCTGGAACATGGGATCGTGCGCTCTGGTCGTGATTTTCGCGATGTTCATAAGGTAGACGATGGTGACTTTTGGCGCGCGGCTCCAAGGGGCCGCGGGGAGGCCAAGTCCAAGCGCACACGCCAGTGCTGGGGGGGCATACATACCCAAAGATCCGATGTCGTGATTTTTTCAATACGGGGTCCCCAGAAGTCTCGACCCATTCCCCGGGACCGGTTTCTCATCCTGAGTCGTTTTGTGACGGTCCCAGGGCCCGGCGAGGGCCCCTCGAGGCCGAAAAATACGAAAAACCTCCGTCTTGATCTTTTCAATGCGTTGGATCTCTGGGCATGGGCCCGCACCAGAAAGTCACTCTAGCGAAAGGCCACTCTTGACGCGCGGGCGACCTTCGCGGTGCTCGGCGGGTCCACCCGGCGGTACACCGGCCGGTTGTGGTTCGTGGCGCTGGGCAGGTAAGTGCCCGCCAACGTCTCTGCCATGCCCTGAAGTGGGCTCACCCAACCAAGGCCCCGTCGGGTCATCAAACATAGCGACGGCAGGTTTTTGGCAGTCTTCGGCCCCTCGGAGCCCTCACCAGGCCCCAGGACTGTCAGAAAGCGACTCGGGATGAAAAGCCGCTCCAACCCAGGCCCCGTCGGGTCATCGAACATAGCGACGGCAGGTTTTGCCCCTCGGGGCCCTCACCAGGCCCCAGGGCTGTCAGAAAGCGGCTCGGGGTGAAAAGCCGCTCCAACCAAGGCCCCGTCGGGTCATCAAACATAGCGACGGCAGGTTTTTGGCAGTCTTCGGCCCCTCGGGGCCCTCACCAGGCCCCAGGACTGTCAGAAAGCAACTCGGGGTGAAAAGCCGCTCCAACCAAGGCCCCGTCGGGTCATCAAACATAGCGACGGCAGGTTTTTGGCAGTCTTCGGCCCCTCGGGGCCCTCACCAGGCCCCAGGACTGTCAGAAAGCAACTCGGGGTGAAAAGCCGCTCCAACCAAGGCCCCGTCGGGTCATCAAACATAGCGACGGCAGGTTTTTGGCAGTCTTCGGCCCCTCGGGGCCCTCACCAGGCCCCAGGACTGTCAGAAAGCAACTCGGGGTGACAATGAAAAGCCGCTCGCGGGGACTTGGTTCAGGCCTCTGTAGGGCCACGTCGCAACACAACCGCTAAGTCGGGGGTCTGGGAAGTGGGCCGGAATATGGCTGGGGTCGGAGGATCGCGTCGCATCTCCTGGCGCCGTCGGTGTGGAGAAAATCGGGCTCCGCGCTGACGATGCCTCGCCCGTGCGTCGGGTGTGCGGCACGACCCTCCGACCCCACGCGCTCGGGCCCCGTTCTGGGAGGCCCGGGGGGGCCTCGTCGACGCCACCGGTCACCACTATGGACCCCGGCGGTGGCCTCTGCGGCGGCACCTGGGGAGACCAAAAAACACCAGGGGGTACTTTCTGACCAGAAGCTCGAAGCGAGTCCAGCCGTGTCGACGAGGGTATCCGAGGAGGCGCAGGAAGGGGAAAACGAGACAGGGGCACCAAGTCGCGGCATCGGCCCAGACATGCGATGATCTTGGTTTGTCCCCACGGGGCCCCCGGGCCACGAGGAGCCAAAAACGATGAGAAACCTCCGTCTCGACTTTTTCCGCAACGCCAGATGTCTTGGTTTTCTTCCTCCGATGGGCGGCGCGCGGAAGTGCACACGGGGGTAGGGGAAGGGGGGAGACTTCTTAGAAGGAGGCGCGCGCCCTGTAGGAAGCAGGGGTGCTTCTAAGAAGCCATCCCCCCTCCCTCTACCCCTCCTGCCCGTGGCTGATTTACGATATCAGCCTCTCCTCTTTTTGAATGCACAAAGCCCCGTGGAGCATGCTTCTGTCGAGGGATCTCCCTCTCGACACCCTGAGCCACGGACGCATACG